CCAGACATTTAGGGAGAGTCTGGAGCCTCTACGCATTTCCCTCAATATATAGTATATAGTCCAGTAAAGACCTGAAGGCTCGGACAATGCCTACCAATTAGCGAGAGCATTGCGAGATGCAGAGGCAAATCCGGTTGGCAATCCGGGTAGCCAGAGACCAGGGCATGATCATTGTGCCCAAATGTCAAGCCACCCTGAATTTCATGCAGGAAACGAAGGAGCTTAAAGATGGGAGAAAAGTGAGTATCATGCCACTGAAACCCAAAGAAAGGAGAACTAAGATGGTGCTACATGGCTTCTCACTTGCCTATTGTGTGGAAGTGATCTCACCACACCTGCAGGTCGTGAAAGCTTCCCGAATCTTCAAAGGGAAATGACCTAGCTGGCAAGCCCTGGTGACTCTACAGGAAGTCCAATCACCACCTTGATCTGGGTAAATGGGCTCCTAACAACTTGGGATGGATATTCCTCAGGTGCTTCACGTGCCAAAAATAAAGACACCACAAGACCAATTGCATGGCCTAAGCCTAATGTGGTGTCAGCTGCAAGGCACACAACACCGTGGTGTGCCTCAAGGTGCACAAAGAAGGCCAAAGGGATACAGAAGCCAAATATCCCAACTGTGCCAAGAGCATCATGCTTGGAGCCTGGCTTACAATGTCAGGAAAGAGGCGGCACTTAGACAACAGGAGGTGGCAAAAGAACGACCAAACTTTATTCCTGCTCCATAAGGCACCAATGTCTGGAGACAGAACTAAGAGGAAAGGACTCTTAGATCTCCTAGGAGGAAAGAGACACCTCCCCAGCCGACCCCCGGACACATCCAATCCAAAGGATTTTCTGGCTTTTGACGGTGTACAGAAAAGGAAACTGAGGAAAAAAGGTTCCAAGAACACTGCAAGTCCCACCTCAAGAGAATGATTTGTGTCTCCTGTTGACTACCATAGTCACTGCAGTGGCAATAGCTAAAGCCTCACCATAAGCAAAAAGCCTAGTGGAGACCCTCCACTAAAACACTTTGAAGAGGTAGATTTCTCAATCAATGAGGACCTAAATGTTATCAGACTCTTTGTCAGCTACCCCCTGGGACTTCTGAAGCTGGAGTTGAGTACTTAATGCCAAAATCGACGTAAGTTATCCTATATAGTTATCTATGTAGTCAACAGTGGAACATATGAGTTTAAAAATAATACACAAAAAAATCCTTTCTCCAATCAATAGTGCAATAAAGGAACACTGACATAGTCATGCTCCTGGAAACAATAACAGTGATCATGTCTGTGTCACCAAGCACAGATGGCATTAGAGGCTTGATCAACCTAGTCCCCTATACTGTAGAGATGGTGAGGAATCTCTTACTGTTGAGATCCACCTGGTCAGGGGCCCCCTCAAGATGTACAATGTGTATAGCAGACCACAATGTGAGAACCAGGTGAGTGCCTTCAATGCACACCTGCCCATCTTGGATCCCCGCAGAAGACCATATGTGGCAGGCCTTCACATAGCTGATGTGTTTCAGATATTCCCCGGGATTGCTTTTCTCAACACCTAAAAAACAATGCTAGTGAGGGGAGGTACTAAACCTCAACTTCGCCACTGCAACACTGGTGGAGAGAATTAGGTGGTGTGTTGATGAAACAGATACAAGTGGTCACTATGGCACTGTCATTACCCTTTTGAATGCTGGTCCGGCATAAAGACCACAGCACAATCCTAGATAGAAAATAGACAAGGCCAACTGGCAAGCACACTTGGCCCAGTCTTAGAAGCAATGAGCCCCCACACAGTGAAAAAGTGACATACTCGAGGCTAGACTTGTCAATGCCATATTCAAGCAGCCTGTCAGACCATCCCTAATAATCAGCCATGGTCTAGGAGTCACAAAACGCCTGGTATATAATGACTAAGTAAATAAATAAAGAAGGCAAAGAACCTCTAATAACCTAGCTCCCTTAAAGGAAGCTGCCAGGGATACCAAACAAGTCTGGCAGGAAAAGTGGCTGAAATGGTGTGAATTCTTTGGCCACCAGACCACCCTTTCAGAACTCTGAAATCGAGTCAGGCAAGCTAACAGCCGCTCAGCACCGAGATGCACACATCACGACCCTCAATCAGAGGCAGACAGGCTGGTGCAGGAGTTCTCTTGTTAGAACAAGCAGCCTACCAGCTAAACTGAGGGCAAACCAACAATGCCTAAATCAAGGCAGGCTTGCTCTTATCATAGAAAAGGGAGCCCAATCTGATAACTCGAGTGCCCTGTTCTCTCTGAGGGACTATGAAAAACATAAAACCAGTTCAGGCTCAGCACTAGGCTCTGATGGTATCTCCTACCCCAGCAACTCCCACCTGGGGCTTGCAGGTGAGCTTGCATTCCTGCAACTCATCAACAAGTCCTGACAAATGTCCACTCCTAGAGGTGGAAAAAAAGCTATAGTTCCCATCCCGAAACCAAAGGAACCATGGAGGTATTATCCCATCTCTCACCTCAGCTGTTTGGGCAAGGCAGCCAAGGTACTTAACCGGCTCTGATCGAAACTGGGACACCCTCATGAACATGTCTACGGGTTCACAGGAGCGTGAGCACAACACACAGCACGCTCTTAGGTACAATTTGCCATGCTCTCTCTGTGGTAATATTCCTGGATTTGGAGAAGGCCTTTGAACTAATATGTCCTCTTGCTGTTAAGAACCTCATCACCCACATGGGAATCAGGGTAGCAAGTCCTCTTGCTATTCAGGAGACCCTCATCAATATGGAAATCAGATGTAGACTCTGGATAGATGACTATTTCAGAAAAAGAACAGCCAAAGTCAGACTCCAAGGTCACCTACCACAGCACATGTCACTAGAAATTGGAATGCCACAGGATGGGGTTCTCAGCCCTGCCCATTTCAACACTCTCATGTCCTGCATCCTCAACAAACACCTTCCAGAGGGGTGTAAAATCACCTGTTATGGAGACGATCTTGCGATTATCTCCGCCGGCAGACACTGCTTGAGAAGAACCCAGAGCTGTCTGGACCTCGTATCTGAGAAGTGTTGCAGGACAGGTCTAAAGATTTCGGCAGCAAAATACAAGGCCTTGGCCCTGTAGATAAGTTGAGGTGCTGAAGTCATACTGTACAGATTAAGACTAGGTTACCACTGCACATGGCAAATCATTATGGCGATTCACATTGCCGATTCACATTGTAGCAAGCACAAACAATTTCTGAGACAGAGACCCCCCCCCCCACTACAGCTGCCGGGCTGGTAAAAAAAATCATGCTTTATGCTTGTGCCATGGCGACTGAAGCGCCTCTTGGCAACCCAACCAACACGTCAAGTGGCAAAAACAAACCAACTGAGACAGCTAGAAATAGTGGCTGGGCCACTCTTTGACCGTAAATCTAACTGAGCTGAACTGATCCTCCGAGAGCACCAGTATAAGCACTAGCATCACAAGGACTGCCTTGTCCTTAGCCGACTAGGGAACATTTCCAGCTCCCCCGGTGATCTCCACTTCATCTCCATCACCCAGCCATACCAGTGCGAACTCACACCCACACAATTACTCCCTAAAGTGACAATGACCAGTTCAAGTACCTCATCTACTACAAGAGAAAAAATGAGATATTTAAACAGAAAGAAAGAATGAGAGAGAGAGAGAGAGAGAGAGAGAGAGAGAGAGAGAGAGAGAGAGAGAGAGAGAGAGAGGAGAGAGAGAGAGGAGAGAGAGAGAGAGAGAAGAGAGAGAGGGGGGGGGGGCGAGGGAGAAAGAGAAAAAAGGAGATGGAGCCAGCGAGAGACAGAGAGACAAATGCAAAGAGAGACAGACAAGCACAGGGAGACAGAGAAAGAAAGAAAAAAAGAGAGAAGAGAGAAAACCCAGGGAGAGAAATAGAGCGAGTAAAGAGAGATATAAGCAGAGAGAGTCAGCCATAGAAAGGAGATAAAACAAGCAAAAGGAAGCTAGATGCAAAAAGCACTGACCGTGAGCTTGTTGGCATGGAAGCTGCCCTCATAGTAGACACCATTCATGGTGACAACCATACCTGGCCCCTGCCGGAGGTCTGCCTGCCACAGGCCCATGTACTTCTCACCTGTAATGATATCATAGAAGTATAGTTTTTTTAAGGATTAATATATCCACATAATCAAAATCACATGTAAATAAAACTCTCATGTGTGCACAACACAATATACACACAAAATTTTACACACATATACAAACCAAACATACGTACATTACATAAACAACCCTCATCCACACACACCACACACACACACACACACACACACACACACACACAAACACACACACACACACACACACCACAACACCACACACTTACTCAATGACTTACTCACTCACTCACTCACTCTTTCTCTCTCTGATTTATTAATTATATTGTGCAAATATCCCTAATCACCCAGACCTCAATTATTATATATCCCTTAATGATCTGACCTGTTAATCACTTTCTAACTTATTACCTCCGCCAAGGAGGTTATATTTTCGGTAGTGTTGGTTAGTTAGTGAGATTCTTTGTTGGTTGGTTAGCAGGATAATTTTAAAAAGTCATGGCCAGATTTTTTATGACCCCATTAAATTTTGGTGGTGATCCGGATCGATCCACGAGTTTTTAATATGCCTGCATCAGTTACCCCTACTGACGTCACCAGTGTACTTGAGAATGAGGTGATTTTGAAGTAATTCTTCGCGTGAATATTTTTATTGCATCAGTGATCCTACTGCATTGGCAGAGGTATACGCTCTCTGAGTGCTTCTAGTCTGTATTGCATTAGTACTGTTTGTGATACTAGTATAATCATAAAGTCAATAATAATACACGAAAGTATAAGGACTGGGGAAATCATTCATACTATATTAAATGATTCCTTGGTGAATAGCAGCTTGTGGAATAAGATTAACTGATAAAGCAAGCGGCTTTATTAGTAGATAGTTATAATAGTAGCATACGGGAAACAGGTTACAGAAATGAAGCCCAATCATGGACCTTTGGATTGTCACCAGGGGTATGATGACACCATTGTGAGAAATTTCTTAATACTTAAAGATTAGGAGTATTGATATATACATGAACAGTGTCATAATACGTGTCCCTCCTTACCTCTGACAATGTCATCCAAGACCCCATAGCCTGCCCTCACACCCTGGCTCCATTCCCCAGTGTAGACGGAGGCCGCCTGTGACCCAAAGTGTCCTGTTTTGCGAACGCCATGGCCCGAGGGTAGCCCATCCTTGACCTGGCCTGCATATACGTCTCCATTGGCGTATCTAATGGATCAGTCAAAACTCATAATAGATGGAGCAGCAGTAATAATGTGCTAAGCAGACCCAGAGAGGGATGAAACAGCTTATAGGCTTATCAGACAGCCAATATAATGCCAATAATCAATTGACAACAGATTTCAAAGACAGGCAGATTAACTGATGAAATGGCCAATCTTTAGACTGCTACTCATTAATAATCAACTGCCATCTGATACTCAATTAATTGATTTATAATGAAGCCTGAATTCTACTGAAAAATCATTTGAAAACTGATAAATGAAATGATAATTACAGCATTAATCCACTGTCCATGTTCACTGAATTTTGTGTGTGTTACCAAGGAGTCAATTATTAGTTCCATTCATCTACCCTGTTCATTCTTTCCTTTATTTTTGGAAAGATTCTTTTAAAATTATTTTAGCATTTTATTATTTGTATGTTAATAACATTATAATAACCATGGTGTCAGTAGTAATGATAATGGACTCTACTAACTGACTCTTTGGTGGCTGAACACTTGTGAAGCCATGTCAGTGTCACAAAGTTCACAAAAATACTACAGTGGACAGCGATACGTACACCCACAGATAATGGACATTAAATGTTAGTCAACTGAAAGTTCATAACTTAGAAACAAAATGGATATTGCTGTTCATACATCAATTAATTTACGATATCTATTCAATCTAAACATCATCAATGATCATAATTTGATGAAGGGATCTCTCTCTCTCTCTCTCTCTCTCTCTCTCTCTCTCTCTCTCTCTCTCCTCTTCTCTCTTCTCTCTCTTCTCTTCTCTCTCTCTCTCTCTCTCTCTCTCTCTCTCTCTCTCTCTGCGTTTTCCTAATCTTACATCCACCAAAAATGTCCAATAGGCTTGCTAAGCCCACCCAATGTCCTTTAGACCTCGCTCAAAAAAAAGTATCTGTACTCGGGAGTAGATGAAACAGAAATGATCGCTAGGAGTTAATTCGGAAAGGTTAGTTCTTTTTTCAAAGCTCGGAACAGAGGAAGCCTCACAATGTGCTTGATCAGTGTTTCGGAGTTGATATGAACAGGGCCTTGCATCATCGCAATATCAACACTGGACTGCCAACAATAGATATTGGATTATGAAATGTTTCTGGCAACAGTGTTTTTTTCTGCCAGTGCAACAACATGGAAGATTCAAGACTGAATTAAAATAAAGTTTAAATATGGCCTGATAAGTTTATTAGTCTATTGATCCGAATTCATGCACATTTTTAGTCGAGAAAAAAATAGGAAGCTTGTTTCCTCAAAACAGCTTGCACTATAAAAAAACAAATTTTAGATCTTAGTATTCTACCAAATTTCATGTACCATGACTCATTTCATTCCCTACCCTTTTGCATAATCTGTACTACTTACAAAATTGAAAGGGTATGCTGTTCCTCAGGAATGAAAACCAAAAAATGTGTCCCAAAAATAGTTTCTCCTAGACCACTCTTTTATCACTTTCTTTCAATAATATCAAAATCATTTGATGTTGCAGTGGTTACAACAAGGGTATGGGTATGTAATTATATAACTTCATGATTAATGAATAGACACTACATTATAATTAATAATAAAATACATAAGTGACCTTACCTGATGACTGCCTGGCCAACCTCTTCCACTTTCACTCCTCTTCCCTGCATCACTACGGAGGAGGAGGAGGAGGAAGATGTAGAAGTAGGATAAGAAGTGTGAGACCCTGAAGAAGCAGAGCTGGAGAAGTATGAAGATGAATAACCCGAGGAAGAAATGGCGGAAGCAGAACCAGAGGAAGAATATGAAGTTGATGATACAGAGGAGGAAGAAACGACTGGATGTAGTGGTGTATGAAGAACGCCAAGCCCATGGTAGAGCCCCTGGCGGAACTGTCCCTCGTATACGGTGCCCGACGATGACCATGACAGAATACCCAGTCCGTGAGGCTTGCCGCACAGCCATTGGCCTGGAGAAAGAGAGGGGGAAAGGGAGAAGTACAGTTATAGAAACTGGGAAGAAATAAGAGCGGGAGTAGATGTATAGCTGTGGTAATACAGAAAAAATGTCTCGCTATACATAACTTGTGTTTCCACGAATATATATATGTGTACATGTATATGTATATATATATACATACATATATATATATATGTATGTATATATATATATTATATATATATTATATTATATATATATATATTTACTATATTATTATATATGTATGTA